TTTATTTAAAAAAAAAAAAAAAAAAAAACATATATATACACATATAAAAATCTTTTTTGTAATGATTTTCTTTTTTGAAACGTATGTTATATAAACTGTCTTTTATGTTTAGTCCTCATACAACAAATGAATCATTGATACAACTACAAACATATAAATAACGACAATACGCCTCATGTGTCCTTTGCCTACCCCTATTGAGTAGCACTAGCATTTTTGTCAAGTTCTTATTAGAGAAACAAAATGATATAAGCGACATTATCAAATAACCCATAAAAAACCAGGAAAGGATACTATTTTAGGACGATGTCCCTTTCTTATTGATTAGGCCATAAACTAACCAAGTAGATAAAATGCTAGATTAAACATGAGTGAAAAAAAAAATGGTATGCAAGATATCTGACAGTTAAATTGCATAAAGCAGGAAAAAGTACGATGTCGTGTAAAGTTGCATTACCTCCGGTGGCATTCCTTCTGGATCTTCCATATTATGTAAAGTTGGAGAATGTCCTCCAAGGCTGGCTCCAGACCTCAATTCTAAATCATTTTTCTTGTCAACAACTTTATCCAACTCTCGACCACGTTTGATCACACGAGGAGGAAAGCTCTTGGAGTTTAATTCATTGTCTGAATGCCATCCACTTACATCATGATTTTGACTTCCAATTCTCTCACTTTCCTCGTCAGAAATGTTGTTAGCTACTAAATTATATTGTGCAGAAACATGCTTCCGCAAGTCTGCTGAATTAAATGAGAACTTCTGTTCATAGTTTGACAAGGCACAAGCTTCATCAGAAGGTGACGTTGAACCAACAACCTTACGCATGAAACCATCTGAAACACCTTTAAACTGGCGTACAATGTCATCCACAGCATCATCCACATTGACTGTGATTAAATAGGGTTTAAAATCATCAATAGAAGCAAACAGCAAAGGAAGCGAAGATACATTACTGTTGTGTCCTTTTTCCATTTAGAAACTCCAAAATGGAGCGGGGGACAAGATTTATTCCCGCCCCATCCCACCCCGCTTAATATAAATATATTTTCAACACATATTAAAAATAAATAATATATATATACACTTTTTGGCTATACTATAAAAATAGATTAGTTAATTTTGAAACTCTAATTGTAATATTTAAACCAAAGACGATGCAAAATTATGTTGATAGAACATATTATATATATGTTTGCTTATCAAATATATTGATTTATTATGATTTTTTTTACCATTTTTTAATAAAGATTATATTGAAAAATGAAAACTTTAAAATAACAATTTTTTTTTAAAGAATAATAAATGGGGGGAAATGACTCGTGGGGAACCCGATCTTGCTCTGATCCCCGCAAAAATAAATGGAGAATTTTGCAAGGATGAAGAATGAAATAGGTGGCAAAGATGGGGATGGGGACAGGGAAGGCTTCCCTTATATAGTGGCTAATTATGGTAATAAAGTACTCCATGGAATAAAGTAGGAAGGTAATAAAGTAGGAAGGTTTACCTCTTAAAATACTCTATGGAAGGTCAAGGGTTTCATTTTGAGGCTATATAAAGTCATGTATGTTGTCTTTGTAAGAGAAACTTGAAAAATGCAGTAAAAATGAGCACTTGTGCTTTGTTTTAGCTTAGAGCTAAGTTTCTTTGCAATTCTATATAGTTTAGGTTGCATATTTATAATCATTCAAGCTTGACACGATCTATCTTGTTTATGAACCCTCTAGTGTACATGTTTCTACTCAACCATCTAATACTTAGGTTTATTCTTGATGGTCACCCCTTCATTTACAGGCCGTAAACCAAGGCTTCTTTGTCATCAGATCAAGGAACAAATGACGATCTTCCTATAGCTCTTCATAAGGTAAACGTCAATGCACGTATCATATTTCTTTTTTTGTTTCATATAACAATTTCTCATCTTCTACCTATTCTTTCATTGCATCCCTAAAGTCTGAATTTGTTCATAAGGTTGTTCATGAAGTTTTATCTCATACTAGTTGGCATGCTGCAATGGCAAAGGAGATGAGTGTCTTAGACGACAATTGTACTTGGGATTCAATTTTAGCCTATTGGCTGGTTGTAAATCGGTATTCAAGGTCAAAGTCAATCCAAATCAATCTAAGCTCGCTTGTTGCTAAAGACGACACACAAACTTATGGAGGTACTATTCTTATACTTTTTCTCTAGTTGTTAAATTGGCTTCTGCCAGGTCATTCATTTCGTTAGCATCTATTCATCACTTTCCCTTGAATCAGCTTGATATTAAAAATGTCTTTCTTCGTGGAAATCTTGAAGAAAAGATATATATGGAGCAACCATAAGGGTTTGTTGTTTGGCAGAAATAGAAAGGTATGTCACCTTCGTAAATCCTTATATGGATTATATGGATTAAAGCAGAGTCCACATGGATGGTTTGGAAAATTTAGTCAGGTGTTTGAAAACTTTGGAACGAGGATGAGCAAGTAAGATCGTTATGTCTTTTGCAAGCGATCTGAGAGTGGTCTCATCTTGTTGGTTGTGTATATTGATGATATTGTTATTATTGGCAATGACACATTAGACATTCGACCACTCAAGACCTTACTACATAGTCAAATTCATATAAAAGATTTGGGAATGTTGAATTACTTTCTTGGAATTGGGGTAATAAGAACCAAGAAGGGAATTTTGTTATCATAGAGAAAATATGTACTTAAATAGTTGACTGAAATAGAAAAGTCGGACTAAGCCATGTAGTGTGCCAATGATGTCCAATTTACAACTTACAAAAGAGAGCGAATTATTGAAAATTCTTGAAGGATATAGATTGTTGGAATATGCGACCCTTGATTAAGCCAAAAAAAAAAAAAAAAAACTTGCAGAGGAAGAGCAAAAGTACAAAGAAAATCAACATTGAATTTGTTGCAACAGAATATGCAAAGGTTTTCATACAAAGAATGAACAAGAACGACCACTCACCTGCTAGTGTTCTCATCACTGAGGAAGATTTTCCAAAAGAATAGTTCTGGGAAAAAAAATCATTAAATTCAATTAGGTTTCCAATATCATTTCCTTACGCAAATCCAATGATTTTAATAAAAAAAAAATTTAGTCTATTCCTGAAATCTTGACGTCTCTAAGATAACGAGTCCATAAAATTACAAGACACTTTTTAAAATATTTTAAATCATTAAAAATTGACACTAACCTAATTGATAAGATTTTGGTATTAATGCCAAAATAAATATTGAAATATGGAACTGAAATCATTGGATTGTCATCTCATCTGGGTTTTAAAATTAATAACACTCATGCTAGACCTTGTTAATCAAAGGAAGTCCAGGGACCATGAGAGGTTTGAAACAATATAACTATAGTAATGGGGCTGATTACCTTTGAGGAAACACTTAAAAAATCCCATACTTCATGCTGCTCGGCAAGATTTGCAATTGATAGTAGCTCCTGGGTAACAATAGTATAGTAAAGCAATCATGATACATAAATTATGAAAATTTACATTAATGAACAACAATAATTGCATCTACGGAAGTTGGAAAATCCAAGGATACCTGCAAATATTTGTCAAGTTGAATGCAACGCTGGTGAACAAAAGCATCTTCTGTGCTTGATGAAAATATTCGTTTGGGAGGCAGGTGCAGTGTATAGTTGGGAATATCTTTAAGATGCCGATGTAAACGCTCAAAATTTCGGTATCTGGAAAAAGAAAAAGTAAAAATAAGCAAAAGCATGAAGGTGACTATAGACTTATTACTTGATTAAAATGTTTGAGGAGCTCTCTCAAATCTTGAGGCACTAAAGATCATTCAATTTCAAATAGAAATGACCAAACACCAATTATGAAGCACTTGCATGCCAAGAAATCTACAAAAAACAGTAAAGGTTTTCGAGATCATTGAAGATTTCAGTTACTTTGGCTTTATTTATTGAGGAATATCAGGAAGAGACCTTCTCTTGACAAACCAAGTTCTTTTATTTGTATCTGTAACAGCTATTGAATACACAGCAAAAGATTTTGAACCAAGCTTCTCAAAGTATGCGCCCATTACCTGCAACGGGGCAAGAAGAACAAAATTGGCATGAAACTTCACTAACTAACTGATTACCCTCAAAACACAAAAGAATGAACTCTCACCCGACTCCTAAGTTTGGGAACAAGTAGTCCTTCTTTTTGAGCTACCATATCTGAGACACTCTTAGAAAGGTGCTCTTCACTATGCTTGCCAAAATTGGGACCAGAGAAATCTGATATAATAGATCTTCCACCTTCTACTGTAGAAGTCTTTTCTACACTGACTTCAGTTTCCAAAGCAGAAGTACTATTGGATCTCTTGAGCTGATTTTTGGTTGCACTAGCAGGAGTAAGATTATCAACACCCCTTAATTTCTTAGCAATAAACTTCCCATCAATAGACAAATCCTTCTGAAAATCCCGAGAAATCTGAAAGCCAATTTTGTTCTCATCACCTGGTTTGGAGGTCAAAATTAGATCAGAATGTCTTTCCAGTGTTTTCCTTACTATCGCCATTTCTTCTGGCCCAATAGAAGCATGATGCTTGTCATTCAACACTTCATCCCTCATTGTTGCTGCGAGCTGCATGCTACTTATTCCAGAATCATTTTTTGTAACCATAGGGTCAAAATCTCCTACTTTAATGATCTTATTTTCCTTTTTTCTGTAGTTTCGTCCTTTAGTCCACATGTTTTCAAGATTTTCAGGCATAAGAACTTCAGTCCTCCTCTGGGTTGCTGCATTTAATGCACGGCCCCAATCACCATGTCTCAGTTGCAAAGGCTCCTCCTGGAACATGTAACCTGAGGATCTTTCTTGTTGATTGTCAATTTTAGCAAGCTCTGAACCATTCCCTGGATTTAAAGATGAGTGTTTCGATTTATCCAAATCGTCGTCATGTACGAACCCAGCAGTAGAAGAATGGTCTTTGTCTTGATCTGAAGAATAAGTTGATTGCTGACTGCCTATCACAGAGTCATTCTCAGCTTTAGTAGCAAGGACAATACATTCAATCACTTCATTTATGTGCCTGATGACAAGAAAAGAAGAAAAAGAGAAATAAGGGTCAAAAACCACTTCTACAGTCCTTTCAACTACTTGATCATTTAAGACTAGACATGTATGCCTAAGAGAATGAGCCCTCCCCAAATTTTTCACAAAGAAAGAACTGATGAGCTGTTTGAAAGATGCACTTTTAAGACTGCTTTCTGGTTCATAAAAATAATAAGCTTCTCACATAAAAAAGCACAGTTGGCAAGACAACAGAAAAATATTTTTTTTCTTTTTCTATCGATTAAACTGAATTATACTTCGATGTTAACATATTGAAAACGTGAAGAAAACATGGAACTAAAAAATATTTTTTGCCTTCTAAAAATCATAAAATTATATGCATACAGCCTTAAAGAATTTGTATTAAAAAAAGACTATTTTCAAACGACCACCCAAAGACTCTAAATGTACAAGAGCATCTTAGTGCAAACCATTTTCTTATGATATTTTACCACTAGATATCGTTAAAAGAAAACATTATACGGGTCAAGAAGTATGCAAGGCCATAATTTGGTGAAACTTTTTTTTTTTTCTTCAAAATTTTAAGTGTTTTCAAAATTTTGTGGAGGCAGCTGGACCTATACATAGTGTTTCAACAAGAGAGGTGGTTTTACAGCTATTCTACAACCACCCCATCACCAGATTATTAAGAAAAAGGAAAACATATACAAATCATATATATCATTAGAATGAGCCAAAGGTATACTTTTTTCACCTTATTTTTCATGCAAGAACAGGAAAGTAAATGGTCATATGGAAGAGTAGGTCATCCAAAAGCATACCCAGGACTTGCAAAGTTCATAAGAGGTTGCATCACCAAGCATGTTAAAAGTTCTCGAGCGATGGATCGGACAACAGGACATTGAGTTTCTCTTGGTCTCAGTACTGAAGTCAACACTCCACTCATGAGCCGTTGAAGGACCTACAGTAGAATAGCAATTAGCAAGGTGCAAGACTCTACCCAAAGAACAATAGATATTTTCACAGAGCACTCCACTCACACCTTGTACTCACTCTCAGGAGACAGCAGTGCCGGATGAAGCTCCTTAGAAGCCATAAGATGGTGTTTCAATCTTTCATCTCTCTCCTTGGAAGATAGTGTTCCCATAACATCAATGCCAATGGCAGCTTGGTTTCTTCTAAAAAGGTCCAGGTGATCACCTACTAAATCAACAACATCCCTGCAACATTTTTATTTAAATACGGTCATAACTCCCCAAACTTCTTAAATACACAACAAAGCAACCTAATATAAATAAAGACTTCTAGAATGTTCCCACCATACAGAAAATAAGCTACCTGGTGAGCAAGTCAACAAGGTTTATCTTCTTCACCCTAACTGCTATCTCTCCAAGGGCATCCATGATTAGAGCGTGTATCTGCTCAGGAAACTCTTTGTCTGGGGTTATTTCTGAATACCATAAGTCCACCACAAAATCCTTCAGTATTTTATCAATGAAATCCTTCATTGCAGCCTCCACAATTGGAGAGTCAAGTTTCCTTTTCCATCTTGGTGGCGGAATGGCCGAAGAAAGTCGCAAGTCATTTACAGATAACTGCTTCTTCTCCAGATGAGATAGGTACGTCTGTTGCTGAACAGGTCGCACCTTTCTACGGAACTCTACCTCATTGAACAAAATGCGTAATGCAGAAACTAATAGAATTGCTAGAGGTGCATTCAACCACATTGACTTACTAGTATCTGCATTGGCAAAAGAAAAAGCCCGTCAAAATAAAACCGATTGATTGATAGAACAGAGGAGTAATACTCAATACTTCAAGTTTTTATTTGTTTCCCCATTCAGAAACTTCAAACCGATCAAACAGGAGAGAGCTATCATTACTCAATTTCACTTTATTCTCATTCTCAAATGTCAATACTCGCAACTTCCATAGAACTCGCCCAATAGAAGAAACAGGAGAAAAGGGTTCTACATTTGAAGAACAGTCCTAGAGTTCTACCAAAGTAATCATCGCAAAAGACAACAGTACCGTAAATTAAAAAAAGGTAAACGAATTAACTCACAAATGAAGCAATACAGAGCGATAGAAAAAAAGAATTCTTACGCGTCAAAAAATACGAAATCGAGAAAATACACAGAGTCCACCAAACCGTTCGAAGTTTAAACTCCTCGATCAGATCCTGGACGGACGCCATAGCCTTCATTGCTACTGAAACCCAAAACAAAACCTCTCTAAATCACCTGCAGGCAAAAGTTACCAAGCTCCACATAGAACAGAGTGGGATTAAGATTCAAAAGCAGTATCTCGAATTCAGGAGACGATCGACATCTGCCGGAACTGCCAGAAGAATCCTCCCCGCCGGCACATCGGCTGGAAGGAAAAATCACAATTATCAAGAACAGGATTCCCAGTGAAAAGGAAGAAGAAGAACATGGAACCCGTTTTCCCGTAGGAACTTATTTACTTTTTGTTTTGTTTTCCTATTTCTTCAGATAAATAAAATAAAATAAAATAAAATAAAATGTGTTGCGTATATATATATATTCATGGAAACGAGAAATACAATATGCACGGAAATGCTGTGACATTCAGATTACCATAACCGACACGTGTCGGTTTTCCTTTCCCCAACGGACCTTCAACTATCATTTTTTAAATATTGTTTAATTTGATTTCACAATATATTTTTCTCAACCTTCTCTTAAAATTCATTTCCATCTCTATCCTACATTTAATTAGTTGCCTTCTCAATTAAGAAAATCAAACTAATCTTTTAACGTTTAATTCAAATTCAAAATAGTATTTATAGTCTACGGGTAGTTTCATTCAAGATTGAAAAACTTATGTCAACTTTTTCAAAAGAAGAGAAAGTTGACTCGTAATAAGAGGTCGACTACCAGAGAAGGAGTTCAACCTCCAAAGTGAAGAGGAGTTAGACTTCCAAAGTGACTCCCGAGGAGGAGTTCGAACTCTTGAAAGTTGACTCCTGATAAGAGGTCGACTTCGAGAGGAGGAGTTCAACGTCCAAAGTGAGGAGCGTGACTTCTAAGAGAAAGAAATCCAACCCAAGTAGGCCTCTCAAATTTGAGTGTCGATAATTTCACCTCTAACACCATGATATTTACTTAACTTTAAGGTTTAAATTTGAGATTAAGATAATAAAATGTTAGAAGAATGCAAATGAGTTTAATCATGTCACGTTCTTATTAAACTAATTAGTAATGCTGTGGAGTCCCAAATTGAGGCATATCATTTAGGTTAAATTAATAAAAATATTTTTAATTTCTACTTTTTATCTTAAAATTATTATCCTTACATTTTAAAAATAAAAAAATCTAAAAAATTACCATAAAATCTGTTCAAAAATATCTTTAAAAAAATATTCTTAAATTTTTAGATCTATCATTAATACCTTTAAATTTTTTTTAAAAAAATACATTTTACCAAAAACACAATAAATAATTTATGACTCTTCATTAAAATATTTGTGAAATAAAAACTCAAATGTATTTTTATTATTATTTTAAATTTTGAAATCTATTGGTCGAAAAGAAATCATTACAAAAACAAGCCACTTGGTTTGTTTTTCTTTTTTCTTTTTTTAATTAATAAATTTATAGGCTGAGTAATTTTTTTTTAATCACCTGATTATGCTAAAGTGGAAATAAATTGGGGTGGATATAATAATATATATTTTAATTTCAATTTTAATGTAATTTTGCAACAGTGTTAATGTGAATTTAGTCCAAAGTTGTTAAATATATATGAATTAATATACTTTTTTCTTATACAAAAATATTTATATTCTTATTAAAGCTGTAATACCGTCGTGGTTAAAATTTTAGATGAAAAATTGAGGTATTTTAAGGTTATTATCTAAATTAATTTAGTCGATATCATAAGCAATATTTTATTTTTATACACTAATAGTTTAAAAATCTCTATAAAAAAAAAAAAAAAGTTAAAAATAATATCGTAAATATTTTTTAAAAATAAATTATATATAATTTCACTTATATTTTTATTCGTATTTTACTGACTAAAAGTATAAATGAAAATTTACCGACCCTTCTTCCAAAAATTTCACAATTTGGAAATTGTAATAATTTTAGAATTTTAAATTTTGTAAAAGATAAGAGATTTGAATAATCCATAATATTTACACGCTGGATTTTGTGGACAAGAACATGGGTGACCTGGCCACGTCGCCCGACGGTTGGTCCAGCTTTATGATTCGGATTTAAAATGACACCGCTGTCCTTGATAACAATTTATTTTATTCGGTGTAGTGGGGGGTGTAAGTGGAAATAAACAAATCAAAGAAAATTTTGAATGTAATTTATTATTAAACCTAAAATAAAAATCACCATACCTAAAATAAAACATAATGATATATATATACTTCACATGTTATCTCATTCTCATTGGTACGTAAGGTCGTTATCTCTCGACTAGAATTTATACGAGTCTTTTCTCGTAACTCTGACTCTCGTCTTTTTGCATGCAAGTGCACGTAATCTATTACGTGGGGTTAATTGGTCTTGTACTTACAAACTATGGTTATGTGGAACCTATTATGTATAATGGAGATGAATAGTAGGAGAGATAATCGATATGCTATCATTCGATCCGGTTTAGAATTTTGAAGGGTTCGATGAGGTGCATGCTTAACTTGCCTTTACGCTTGAGTCTTGAAACACCCTTCATGGACACTATCTTTTAAGGTTATCTTATCACGTATGTTAAATTTCAGGTTTCTATGTCTTATATCAGCGTAACTTTTTTTGTTTATTATGGACCGTACACAACTCATCTTGATCTTTTGTTGACCTCATTTGTGGCTTGAACCAACTCCAATCTGTCACAATATGATTTTCGAGGTTTTCGACTGCTTTGATATCAATTTGTCACGACTCGATTTTTTAGGTTTCGAATCTCAAACAAGTATTTTCAGCTTGAGATATTTGATCAATAAGGTAAATTGAATCTTACCTTCAGTTGGAGTGATTTCTTATCATTAAGGCTAAGTGTTCTTACCATTCCTTTACAATTCAATGTAGTTTAGATTGAATGTTTAAAATCATTCAAGCTACACATGATCGATTTTGCTTGTAGAGTAATTTGAATCTCAAATAAGTATTCTTACCTTAAGATGTTCGATCAACAAGGTTGTAACGACCCTAAATTTCTACATACTCAGAGTCGCTACTAACGTCTCATGCTCATCTATAATGCGAAAATTTAACTCTTACATTAACATCATTTATAACGTAAACTTCGAAAAGCGCTTAAAACAACTTCTTCTCTGGAAAACACAGCCATGATCTTACGTGTTTAAAAACGAAAATACTAAAATTCAGAGAAAATAAAAACAAACACAAAATAATTTAAAACAATGAAATGCAAAACAACCTGTTCTAACCTAGGACTATGAATTTAAATATGAGTCTACCCTATGCACGTGCCGCAGTCTCTGCTCGTGATGCCACCGTCATCCGTATAAGTGCACTTTACTTTTACCTAAAAAAAAAGATGTGGCACACGGCCTAAGTATTTCGAAGAGTACTTAGTAAGTGGCTCTACTATACGGGGCCGTGCAAATGCAAACACATGCAATCATGATTTAGGGACCTATCTCTAATCATGTAATACCCGAAGAAAGAGAAATAGATATAGAAAAAGAAAAAAAAATAGGAAAAGTCGAGAGAGAGGCAAACTTTTTGCCCCTCCAACCACCTAAGGGGTCCAAATGAAATCTCATCCTAGTGAGAGAAAGGGGTAGAGAGAACCTAGAGAGAGGAGAAGGGATGAACTGCCGGAAGACTCACAGAAAACTATCGTCGGAGTCTATTCCGGTGAAGATCATGATGCAAGGAGGTGAAGATCATGATGCAGGGAGACTTTCTTGGAAGGGAAAAGAGAATATGGGTGGCCGGAGTCCCATTTTTCATCAAGAAATCGGAAAACCAGCAAGGTAAGGATCTTGAACGTTTTCTCATATCTACGGTTTTCCTTTGTGAATCAAGATCTGAAATCTTGATATATTCATCTAGGAATAACTCTACGCATGATCTGTGAAGAAGTTTGGTCGAGATCTCAACCTGAAGGCGGAGGTCCGAGAATGGTGAGCGAACTTCCGACGCTATTAACTCGTCCAGTAGTTAAGCAAAAAATTACAAAAAAATACTAGGACGTAGCCCATAACACGATCTAGAACTTTATCGAAGGAATCATATCGATCCGATCTACGGATCGAAAGATATGAAAATCGGAAAAGGGGACTGTGTTTCGGTTTTCAGAGGGACAGGGAAGAAAGAAGAAAAAAAAAGGGCGGCCGGCGAGCAGCGGAGGGCGGCGACAGGCTCTAGACACGCGTCGACCATCGGCTGGAGCAACGCAGCTTCAGCGAGGCATCGACACGTGTCGCCTGCAAGTCGGCCCGAACAGCATATGCGAGCCGAGCAGACCGAACCGGCCGACCCGCGACTACGCGGAAGCAGGCGCACGTGCAGCCTGCGACTAGCGCCTTCCCGAGCGCGTGACCACGCACTCCCAGCGCGCTACTGGCGCGTGAGCGCGCGTGGGACGGCCAATTTGGCCCGGTTGCTTTCTGTTTGCCCGATTTTTGTCCTGGTTTCAGTTCTAATACTATTTTTACATGAATAGGGACCTAATTTAAAGAAATCAGTATTTTTGGACACCTCACGGGCAAAGAAACGCTAGCAAAAAGGGCACGCGTCAACCAGGTAAGTCACCACTCGGTATTTAGGAAGAAGTACTTGTAGGATTCGCTTGGATTGCATGCATGCTAGTAGTTTTACTTCAGATTAGCTCTCCATGTAAATTTTTTGTGAGTATTTGATATGATTGTATTGGGTGAATTACATGAGTGTTGTTGTATGCTTTATGCTTCCACTGTATGTATGCATGCATTTAATTTATGTTGGAATTGTGTATTCCGTGTTCTGGGTGCTTGGTGGACGAATTTGCACCATTGAGCGCGAACTTCGTGCTCTGGATGCTTGATGGAGGTCATCGCCCCGTTGAGCCGGTATGCCTAGTTTGCATAAATTATATAGTACGATGTTAGAAGACGATTGCATGCACACTCTGTTAATTGCTAGGGCCCATTTCTATGATAAGCTTAGGAAATTATTGTTAGAAGCAATATGTCGCTCCAGCCAGATTTAATTTGTCCTAGGAACTTAGCGGTTTACCATGGCAGGTGGGTACCTCGGAGTGTTCATAGATTGCTAGCTTCGTGGGAGGACCAAGGGTCCCTGATCAGTCCTTACTACTCTTAGCCATTTCGCATGGGAAATGTGTCCCCACGTCGTACAGACCATTAGTTGCATGGGAACGGGTTGGGTCGCGTCCCCCACAGGGGGACTATATGGGCGTAGGGGTATTCAGCACACCCCTAGGCTAGATACCATGTAGTCCCAGATAGCTATGTAGAGGTAGCACCTTATAGAGAGATACCG